TGGAGGCCCGCTAGCTGGGCCGATCCCCATCCGGCGAGCCAGCAGGGGCTCTCGGCCAGGAAGCTTGGAACCCACGTGCTCGTCTCCATCATGCCCATGGGGGTGGGTTGGGCAGCACCCATCCCTCTGATGCATCGGGTCCTAGAGACGGTGGCAGCGGCGGCAGTTCACAGTAGCTTTGTCTGCTTTGGCTGAAGAAAGTGGCTGCTCCAGTAGCGGTGATGGAAGCAGCATCCGGCCAAGCCACGGTATGCCAGGACGTGGAGCCCATGTTCTAGTGCTGCAGCTGCCTTGTTGGGGAGAGGAGAGGCTGCTGCCTAGGAGGGGAGTAAAGTGGCATCAGGCCGGTGAGCGCCGGTCCTCAGTCATCGGCACCCCTCCAAGCAAGGGCATGGGCAGCCAGATCAGAGGGCGGCAGAACCGGCTCCGCTTGCAACTCATCAGAACTGCGCATGTTGGTCGGGGGGCAGCAGTACTCTGGGCATCACTTCTGGCATCATCGTCCTCGGGCTAGTCGGCTTGTTCCCTTGACTTTGCCACGGGCGGTACGGGCAGAATCTCCAAGGACGGGGTCACGAGCACCCGCTCCTGAAGCATGGTCTCTAGAACGGGGCGTGCACCGCCCATGTCGCGCGCGTCGGAGGCTCTCAGCTGCTGTAGCTCGACATCCTGGGAGCCGTCTGGACCTGTCTCACGGCGCCTATGCTGGCGCGGCTGCGGGTCATAGGACGCCGTATCCCTGCATTGGGCTTGATCGCGCACCCCTCTCTAGAACCTCTTCTTAGACCCATCGCCGCCTCGCGGGCCGCGGCATCTGCTGCCTCCCTCATCTCTGTCCTCGTCTGGCCTGTCCTCGTCTGGCCTGCGGCCGGCGTTGAAAGAACCAGCCGAAGCAACTGCATGGCCACGGCCCTCGCCATCCTTGATCCCCATGCGCCAGCCTTTGTGCGTGTCGATGCGCGGCCATTCATGGACCTCTTTGTCGGGGATGGGCGTGTAGTCCTTAACCATGTCCAGGTGGATTAGGACCGGGAAGTGAGGCCCCTCCTTGCCCTCCTCCATGGGTGTTCCTTCTGGCAAGGATCCTCGCGATCGGTGCGCGTCTGGCATGTTGAGCACGTTGAAGTCGGAAGCACGCGGAATCCTGTCTGGATCCCAAGTCCAGAGCCATGCAAAGAGCGCCGAGCGGTTGGTCTTGGTAAGCGACTGCCGCTCAATGAGGTCGAGCCAGCACTCCTTCCCGAGCACCTCCTGAACATTGTCCCAGTCCCAGGAGTTCAGCGGGAGGCGATCAAGAGCCACGCGGCAGTAGTACCGCCACACCCTGTTCCCGCCCGGCGGGGGGAACCACGGTCGGAGCATTGGTGTTAGCCACAAAGTCCAAACTATTGTTTGCTTTGCACTTACCATTGTCCTCATGACCTGCCAGGTTATGTTGTTGTCCCTTGGTGTTGCCGTTCTTCTTCCCTTTTCCCGGTTTGTCCTTCTTTGAGTCAGGGTCTTTGGTACTATTTGAACCGGCATATTTAACCAAAGCAGCCATAAGCGTTGACATGTCATTGCAGTGACGTTTGAGCCTTCCTAACTTCAGCTTTAACGGTAGAAACCGGCAATTGCCCTCCAACGTTAGCACTGCTGTATCCGCGTTGATACGATCCGACGAATGCAGAATAGCTGAGACCCGCTTCACCCAATGGATTGTAGACTCCTCATCCTCTTGAACACAAGCGACCAGGTCCACAATTGACATCGGCTGCTTACAAGTATCTTTAAAATCTGGATAAACCGGTGTTTTAACTCGGCCCATGATCCGACAGAGTTAGCTGGTAAGCTCTTTAACCAAGTACGAGTTGTCCCCTCAAACATCATGGTGAAGTATTTAGCACACACCGCTTCATCCACATCCAACATCTTCATTGCCATCTCATAACTTTCAACCCATGACTCTGGTTGCAAATCGGCGGTGTAATTGGGCACCTTATGAGGTCCCTTAAAATCCTTGGGCAGTCGTATATTACGTAAAGCGGGGGTAAGACACGGCACCCCGAAAGAACTGAAGACCACGTCTGGCTCCACTGAAGCGGTAGGGCGAACCGGAGTAGGTTGACGAGCTGCATGCAGAGCTACTAACTCGGCTTCTCGATGTGCACGACCATGATCCACCACATCTTGCGCATTAGCACCTCCACTTGCCGGGTTGTATCCTCGCGGCGAGTTACGGTGACGTGCATTGCTTGATACAGTCGGTTCATCCTCAACGTGCCTGCTGTAGCTTCGACTCGGACGGGGGGTGGAATGAATCCTCTCGCGACTATGCGAATAAGCCTGTTGCTGGTTTAAGGCTGTCTGAAGGAGCTCTCTGGCCCGTCGTGTCTCAATCGCCACTAGTGACTCGCCGTCAGCTGGGAGGGCTGCCAATCGTGAAGCGGCGGCCACAATGTTGTTTAACGGGTTGGAGTAATGCTCCGGGAGCGTCAGAACATACTGCGGCACAACGTTGTTCTGACGAGGTGGGTCCATCATGTGTGGCTGAACCGGCGCTCCTGTTCCCGGTGCCTCCGTCTGGTTTACCACTGGCTAGTTACTGGTTCCGGCTCCTCGCGTATGAGCTGAGAGTCGCTCCGTCCTTCCGTATACGCGCGGTGCCTTTCTCACTGTGTAGGCGTGTATGTGGAATCACGGATGCCTGAAAAAACACGGCCAGTCGTTCTTGCACGCACACCGTCATGGGATGGTGTGGCGTATGGTACCGGCGTGCCTAACACGCCTGACCAGTCAATCAACCGTCTTGGCAAACAAGTCTATTCGGTCAGTCAATGCATGCATGTGTTCTCTCCGTAAACAAAATAATAAAAAAATAAATCTCATTTGAGAGATAGTATCATCCGTGCGTACGGTTTTTCCCACAACCGATCAATCCGCTCGGTCGGTCAATGCATCAAGACTAAGCAACTCTCTTGACTTCTTTTTGGTAATTATAGTGCATATTGCATTCTGATAAATCATTTGGACAAAAAATGATGTATTGTATTACTCATGGTCAATTCTATGCACACAATAGATCTTGTCAAATATGATGATCAAAGCTTCGGTGGATCCATGTCGATCCGGTCTTTGTTCGTCGGCGCTTGTGTGTCTACAGGTTGAATCCTTCCTATCTACTTTTCTCTTTAACGGAGGAGGTTGTTGTTCTAGTCCGCTGGTCCTATAGGCCGTAGCACGACGACTTGCCGGTTGTCTACAACAGTAAGGTTTGCCTGGCGGCGATGAGGAAGGGGCGATGACAACGACGCGCCTCCGGCTCGCTCTAGTGCTAATAGTCGTCGCTAGATGGTCTACAAACTTGGACCTAATTTTTACTTCTAGTGTTCTTTATACAACTGTGACAATTGAAGATCAGATCGAAGGTTTTTCCCTAAAAAAATGACGATCAAAAGTGTATATTATACAATGAAGACAAGTGGCAGTAGTGGGATAGTTATGTACAAAATTCATCAGTTCAAGTTCAAG